TGAGGGTCAGGGATTTCTAAGGGTCAGGACCCCTGACTGGCTGGCATTTGTCTAGGGGTGTCCTGGTGAATGTGTGCTGGCAGGTGATCCTATCTACTGCCGTTTGAATGTTAGGAATTTCCTTTGGATGGTCTGTTCTTGGGTGGTGCCTGGGTAATCTCAGTTTGTGGTTCTTTCCTGCTACCAGGAATTGCCTCTTATTAAATTTATCGAGGGCCAAGTTCTACTCTGGCATGAGATAATGGTTGGAAATAAATAACTTCCTTTGGGGGAATCTGCTCCTATTAAGCTTATCATGGCTGGCTGAGTCCTACAGTTTCCTTTAAAAAAATAAAATAAAAAAACACAAGTCCTAAACTTAATCTGAGAAATAGTCCAAAAACAAACCACTTATTAATTAAATGATTAAAGTACATTGCCAAAAAATTGTACACACACACAATATACAACATGTTTTAGTATATGTATACATCATGGAACAGCTGAGTGGAGCTAACTTACCTGTATGCCATTTTTTTGTGGTGAGAACATTTAAAATCTACCTTTTTTTTGCATTTAGGTTTTAGAACATAAGTTTACTTTAAAGTGGAAATCACAACTAAAAACAGTATTAGCTCTATTGAGAAAATATCTGATCTCATTACAAACACTTGGAGACAGGTACCAACATGGTAAGTGTGATTAGCTTTAGGCTCTAACACACTGAGAGATTCTGTGCAGTGTTGTTGCTATTGTCTGACTGAGTCTTACTGTGTAGCCCAGGCTGGCTTCCAGCTGTGCTCCTGCTTGCTGAAGGTGATGGAAGGACAGAGATCTGCCACCACACCTGGCTTGTGTCCTTCACTGCCTTTTTCAGATTCCTCTATAAAGAGGGCATATGGCTTTGATACTAGAAGAGACTATTAAAAGTTACAATGTTCCTGAAACCCTTTCCCCATCATCTTATAGAGGGGAAGGGTGGCTATTAATCTATCTAAAGTGCAGTGACCACAATGATTAAGCCACGTGTCCATCCTAGGCATTTGTGAAGTCTATGAGTAAAGACGGTAGATTAAGTTCAACAATTGCTTTAGTTAGAAAACCTGGAGAATGAATTTTTTTTTTACTAAATTTTGCCAGTAGAAGGGTATGAAAATGCAGGCATTACCTGCTCTCTCTCTCTCTCTCTCTCTCTCTCTCTCTCTCTCTCTCTCTCTCTCTTTCCCTCTGTGTGTGTGAACCCATGTGCCTGTGTGTGGTATTAGGGTTTGAACCAGGCAAGTGCTCTATTGCTGAGTTACATACCCAACTCTATTGCTTCTCTTTTGTTTAATTAATCTGTACTCCATATTATTTAATTCTACCCTATGCTATATTGCTATTGAAAAAATATTTTGAGCAGGAATTATTTGGTACCCATGTTTTTGGACAGTGTTTCTAGGATCTGAGCATTTGCAATGATTCTTCCATGACTCCTGTCAATAGGGACGTGGTATCTCTTGATGTGAGTCTTACAAGCCTAGATCCTTAGTCTTGGTATCTCTTGGTGTGGGTCATATGAGCCTAGATGCTTAGTCTTGTCCGATTGTGTCTTACATTGTTACTTCTGCAATCACACATCTGTATCATAACTTCCAGAATCTTCCATACTCTCTGTATTCTGTAAAAAGATAAAAATTGATGCTTTTTAAAAGTCATCAGTGCACTTAAAACTCCACATCATAAACCCAAGTTTCAGCTAACATGAAAATAGCATTGTGCACACATGGACACTCAGAGCCAAGAGGGACTGCATGGAGAATTTTGCTTTCTCCTATCTTGGGAATAAAAGGAAAACTCAAGAAAAGGTACATCAAGGACTGATATGTGTGTTGCCTCATAGAAATTCCACCCATCTTAACTCACTCATGTTCCTCTCCTGAGGAAGGAAGCCCAAAGGATATTGGGATATTGCGTATGTAAATAGTAAGGCTGTGGTCAAAAGAACTGGATTCTCACTCTGACTTTTTCACTAGCTGAGTGACTTCAGATAAGCTACATAACCTCAGGTTGTCATTTAAACCAAGCATTCACTTCCAGTGTGAGTGCTCTCTGATTTAATGTGATCTAACTTTGCGTAAATTATGATGCTCCACAATCTATATTCCTGGTAAGCCCCTGGCAAGGACTCAGGAAGGATAACGGAGCTAGAGTAAAACAGCTTTCCCAAATGGCCCGATGGGAAGCGGTCTTAAAGGGCAAGATGTTAGCCAGAGCCCTATACTTGCTACTTCTCCCCTCAGGACCCCCCTGACCTCCCTGGCAAGCCCATGGTTGCGCTTCTTTTTCTTACTTCCTCCTCGGGATTCATTGACCTGCCTTCCCTCTCCGGAGTGACATTTAAGGTGAAGTTTGTGAATGAGTAGAGAAAAGTAATGAAGGAAAGTTAAAACCACAACAACAAACCCCAAACCAAATGCTGAGATGAATTCCAACTTCTCAAAAGCCCCAAGTAACAAGAATGAAGGTTCTGGAGGCCTCCGTATCCATGCAAGCACAGCTTTTCTCCAAATCACTGTTTAATCGTGATTTATTAAAACTCGCATTTTCCCAGTTGACAGGATCCTTTCTCTGTTCTCTTCTATCCTATCAGAAGTAAATCCCAGAGCACATCACTCCACCTATGAGCTGATTTCTCTGGAAATCCTCAGTGTGCCCCTACCGTCCTCTTGTGTCTAGAACAGCTGTGGATTAGTGTAGATGCCAAACAGAGGTTGAAATCTGCATTCATTATCTGTCCCGTTAGTTACAGAGAAAATGGCAGAGATATCCAGAAACAAGGAACAAGACAATTTGGAGAGCAACCGTGGAGGTTATGAAGCAGCTGAAGTGAATCACAGACACCAGAGTTTGTAAGAGCGCTGTGAATTGCAGGATTAAAGGTAACTGCTTCCCACTTAGATAAAATATCCATTTAACTCAAGAATTGAGAGTGGATTTGTAGATCCGGCATTCCATTAGGTAACAGTGTCAGAGGGCAATTATTGATGACACTTGTGGTGCACATTTGTATCTGGAGAAAGAAACAGAAAAAAAAAAGAAAAGAAACCAAAAAGCCTGAGTGCCTTGCTGTACATACGCTCATGGTTGCGCAGTATGCGGAGGTGAAACAAAAGATCTTTTCACAGACTCAGAAGCTGATGTTTCCCCAGGGTCTCAACACATGAGTTAGAATGGATGCCTCCCTCCTTGGGTTTGTAGTATAGACTCGGAATAGATTGCTTAATGCCTACAGGTCTCTTTGATCTTCTGAGGGGAACTGAAAAGTCCTGATTAACTTTAGACTCTGAGAGGACCCCCACAGAAGGCCTGAGATTGTACTGAACCTGAGGTCTTTGTTAGAATCTGCGTTTAGGCCCTTCGTCATTGAAATAGCTCTTTCCTCATCAAGAAAAACACTGAGCTGGGTTTCACAAAAGAACTTATTGGTCTTGTCCTCAGCTCTGTGATTCCTTTATCTGCCCTTGGGAGGACTAAGTGGTTAAAAATTAAAACCTGGTTGTCTTTGCACCAGCGTCCCCCCTAGTTCTTCATTCTCCTCCAGGCAGGAAGATGGGGGACCATAGTAAAGATATATTTCACATACATACTGAGATGTTTCTTGAGAGATGTAACTGACAAAACAGTTAGGTGGGGGCCATGGAGCATCAGGGGATGTCCAGGTCTCCCCTCTTAATAGTGCCTATTTTCCTGGCAGCCCTGTAGTGATGGGCCTCTCTCCCCACCTCTTCTCTGCTTTCTCCGTCTACGTCTCTTTTCCGGTATTTATCTGGCCTATCATAGTAAGAGGTCAGTATGTTTCCCACACTTGGATAATCTCATTCAAGAATTTTTGTCAATGGACAAGTCATAAGAAGCTCTTCCATTTTAGGGCTCGTTGACGTCACCAAGGAGGCGATAAATATCTGTTGATATAATTGGATGTGAGATTCAGTGTTGAAATAGCAGAACTCTGTCCCTCGCTCCTTGGCAGGGCCCTATGATTTATGCAGGAGCAGAGGCAGCACGCAATCGAGCTGTCAAGAGAGCGTCAGCTTATTAGGCAAACGCTGCGGGCTTTCTGAAGAGGGTCGACGTTATAAAATCTCACTCCAGCCTCTGGTGTTGAGAAACTCAGAGCCCAAGTACATTGAGAGGCTGAAGGGGAAGGGAAGAGGCAACAGAAAGGGAGAAGAGAAAGGCAAAGAGGAAGAGATCCCGCAAGAGGCGTCCTGGGAGAGGTCCCTCTGCAAAGGCAGCAGCGCGTCTCACCTGCCAAGGGAGGAGAAGGTAGGCAGCGCCTAGACGGGCGGGCGGGCGCCACCAACTTTGTACCGCCTGAGCTTCTGTGGTGAGCCCCGGAGCCAGCTGCCCCTGTGCGGAAGTGCCTGTGTCTGTGCATGTATGTGTGTGTGTCTCCAACTGTGCCTTAAAATTCCAATGGCAGTGGTGATGTGGCAAAAAGCAAAGTTAGACGGCTGCTCATCTTTATCCACTCAATTTGCCACTTACCACTCACAGTTTGTGTAAAAAAATGGCTCCCCCATCACGTCCCACGTCCATCCCGACCCCCAAGCATAGGGAGTAAGGGCAGGGATGGAGACACGGAGGAGGCCGTTTTCAATTTGGGGAAAAAAAAAAAAAAGGCTGTCCGAAAGGGGGCGATCAGGGCGGGCGATAGCTTAAACCTGTGGCATTTCTTCGGGCTCAGGGAAGTCTGTCTTGGGAATACGTTTGGGAGATCCTTAGGAAGAGGAGGCAGGGGCTGTCCTTTCTAGGTATTCAAAGACGGGTCACCTGCTGGCTAGCAGATGAGCCTTGCGGACGCCTAGCTTCAGCACCGCGGACAGCGCCACCAAAGCCCAGCGCCGGGCTTGTGTGGGGGTGTCAGGAAGCCTGGGTGCAACTCCTAGCTGAGCTAAACTCTAACCCGTCTTCCTTCTCTTCCCCACCTTCTCTCCTCTGCCCTCCCCCACCTCCGTGCCGCAGCAAGCGCCCCTAACATGCGGCTGCGGCTGCTGGTGTCCGTGGGCATCCTGTTGATGGCTCTGTCGCCCAGCCCTCCATGCAGGGCTCTGCTGAGCAGGGGACCTGTCCCTGGCGCCCCGCGGTCCCCGCAGCCCCTGAATTTCCTGCAGCCAGAGCAGCCCCAGCAGCCTCAGCCCGTTCTGATCCGCATGGGAGAAGAATATTTCCTCCGCCTGGGGAACCTCAACAGAAGCCCCGCTGCTCGACTGTCGCCCGACTCCTCGCCCCTCTCCGCGGGTCGCGGCAGCCGCCCCTCGCAAGACCAGGCAGCGGCTAACTTTTTCCGCGTGTTGCTGCAGCAGCTGCAGACGCCTCAGCGCTCGCTCGACAGCCGCGCAGGGCCGGCGGAGCGCGGCGCAGAGGATTCCCTCGGTGGACACCAGGGGGCGCTGGAGAGGGAGAGGCGGTCCGAGGAGCCGCCCATCTCTCTGGATCTCACCTTCCACCTTCTGCGCGAAGTCTTGGAAATGGCCAGGGCAGAGCAGTTAGCGCAACAAGCTCACAGCAACAGGAAACTGATGGAGATCATTGGGAAATGAAATGGTGCGTTTGACCAAAACGATTCTGTATTTAGCACACAAGTAAAAATTAAACAATTAAAACTCAGTATTCTGTACCATATCGCAGCTCTGATATCATTTGTTTATTTTTATATAGCTTGAAGCATAGACTATGTACAGGGAGAGAGCCTATACACCCCTTAATTAGCATGCACAAAGTGTATTCGTATGCAGTAGCAAAACAGCGTTATTGAATTGCCTGTGCTTAGCATCCATGTGCAAATAGCGTCTTTGCAGCTGTATCTTACAGAAAAGGTGGACCCAAGGGGGAAAGCTTTGTGAGAAGCATGTGGAAGGCACCCATTGTTTTTGTTTGGGGTCACAGCAGAAGAGAATTCATTCTCGAGGGGTGGCCAGGACAAAATGTGTAAGCTCTTCGAATCAACTTTTTCTTGTAAACGTTTCACTAATAAAACATCTTTCCAATCCTTGGTCAATTTGGTTGTGTAAGAGAACGTTGAATATTTATATTTTTAATAAAATCTGCAAAGGTTATTGTGATTTTGTTTTTACTCTTCAGTGTGTTTGAAGAAATGGCCCCCACACAAGAAAAGAAAACCACAACAACCTGCCCCCATCTTCTACATTTTTCTCCTGAAAACACCAACATCTGTCCAGTAGCTCACACAGACCTTCAGACTATCCTGGGCTCGTCTATGTCCTCGGGTTTCTCTTCTGAGACCGAATTAAATAATTTTAGAGGTTCCTCTGGCCTCTGAAACTTGATAATTTTGCAACTGGAATATCAGTCACAGTGGAAATTAACATGCAAACATAATTAGTGAGTGGGTGGGGGTGTGGGCGGGCAGGCGTGCAGCATGTGGGGCCTTCAGAGGACCACGAGCAGGAGCTAGCTTGCTCCTATCCTGTGAGTCCTAGGGACTGAGCTCGGGTATCCAGGCCCGGAGGCAAATTCCTTTCCCCACTGAACTACCTCGCCAGCATGAGCTAGGACAAACTTTATAAAGCAAACACTTCAAGTAACTGTTGTGATCCAGCTGCCCTCACTCCCCCTGACTGACAAGGGAACTTCCTTGTGGTCTGTAATTGACAAGGATGTTTGTGTTCTTTCTGGCAGAGGGTATCCACAGAAGCAGTAGAGGTATAAAAGGTTACTGGGCAAAATAAAGGTTGCTGTTCTTCCACCTGAAGAGAAGCCTGTGTGTCTCAATCCCGACACCCACTGCCAGTCTCAGCTATCCAGGCTGCGTTGGCTGCAGCAGTAACTAAACATATTTGCTGAAAGGGACACTTGGGAAATTTTTCTTAAAAGGAACATTTTGATTTTTAATAAACTACACAGATACCCTTCATATTTGTCCCCATTGCAGTCTTAAACACCGTGACTTGTAGGACTTCGTTATTTGCACGTAAAATTAAACAGTGCATCTAAATAGTTTGACAATATACTTGCCTCTAGTAGTTTAGTTACAGCTTTAAAATGTTCAGTCCTGTGATAAATACTTTAAAATTAATTTATATGCATGAAGATGGTGCTTCTCTTGAGGACCTTGAATTATGCTTGACTAATGAGTTAATAATATATGAGTAATTGAAGAAATCATAGGAGACCAAGGTTTTTAAAAACAGCATTTATTTAAGAGTTCACTTAAAGTTATACTAATGTGAGGAAGGCATCACAGTGATAGATGATGGATAGATAGATAGATAGATAGATAGATAGATAGATAGATAGATAGATAGATAGATGATAGATGATAGACAGACAGGAGGAGAATTGTGTATGTCTTTAAACACATGCAGCTATTCCACAGTTTATCAACTTGCTGGTACAATGGACACATAAGAAAGTAGATAGTTCCTCCCAAAAGTCTTCAGTTGAAATGTCTGATGTATGAATATAAGATTATGAGATACGTGATTAAAATTAGAAAAAATGTCAAAAGAGATACCTTAACCTTTGGCCTTCTGAACTACAGAAGTGTGGCCAAATTCAGAGACTACTTCTGGCTGCACATTCAGAGACGTCTGTAGAAATGAGGCGCCTTCTTCCTAGCCTTGGTCAGCAACCTCTCTCATGCCGAGATTTGGATAAATCGGTCAGTTCTGAACTGATACTGAATGTCACTAACAAGCTGCAATGCTAAGGGAAAAAAACACGACTGTGCTAAAAATAACGAGAAGCCATGCCCACGGGAGACGAGAGTGTAGTGCCCACTTTGTTAACACTTGCCACTTAAAGCTGATGTGCACACATGTACCACACCTACACAACCTTCAGAATGATGCCCACATAATAAAGGATTTGCAGAAGATCAAGTTTCTTTATACCAGTGTTTTCTGCAATTTTGTTCTGAGCGTATGCATTTTCTCAGCAAGTTAGATAAGTCATCTGGAATTAAAGGTTTATTATTTTCTCTCAGAAATCCTGTCCGGACGTCCCGCTGTCACGGTGAATTTCACCCAGAAGTTCCCCGCGGCCCGGTGCGCATCTCACCTAGGCCGCCAGGGGGCAGCAGCCAGAACATATCATTCATTCAGGGAATTCAACCAGGAGAAGGAGAAGACGTGGCGAGCTGGCTCAGAATCAGCCCCACCCCCACTGCCCGAGGCTGATGCCTGTCCCTGGGGAGAAGGGGCCTCAAATCCAATCTGCAAAAGAAGAAAATGCGGATGAGAGAGAGTTGGGAGCAGACCTTTGGGGAGTTGGACCAGTCACCGCTCTATCGAGGAGAGAGGAAGATAATAATAATTATAGGAAGCATAATTATTATTATGACAGAAAGCAAGCTGAGGTTATCTTAGGCATGGTCAAGAGCCATGGAAGTGATTCACACTTATGATTCAAAGGGAAGAGCAGTAACGCATGCAGTGGAAGGAAACTCTTGATGGGAGGGGCCAGGCCGCCCTGCTGGTTTCCCCAAGAGCAGCTGCGGCATAACTGACTGACCAGACAGTCTCGTTCATAGAAACAGGTGCCTAGGTTCACAAAAACCTGCAGAGCTGCTTAAGATCCTTCTTGGTTTCTACCTCATAGCTCTGTGACTGAGTGCTTTCTCTGCATAGGTAAGGCCTGAGTCCCATCACCAATGTTATAAAAGACAGAGAGAGGGCAGGGGAAGGAAGAGGGAGGAGGAGGGAAGGGGAAAGAGAAGGGGAGAACCCTAATTTAAATGATGTTGTTATATCCCAACACTGCAGGATGTATTCATATTCATATACTCTCTCCACTACTGAAGATCGAAGTTCCCACCAGATTCCACTCACGCACCACCTGATGGGGCATGCTTCCTAAATTCGCACCATTAGTGAGTTCACCGTTGTGTGACACCAGTGCGCTTGCACACATACTAAGATGGCGGCAATATCAGCAAGCCACGCTGTCTACAAGAATCATACACGGGGATGCCGCTGACGAAAACATTATTATGCATACAGTCATAAGTTTGTCTATCCCTTTAGCTTTGCAGACACCCCACCCCAGCTTTGCAAGGCTGAAGGGTTAATCTTGAGCAAATCCGGCAGGGAATTTCCCTACGCATTAAAATCTGATAATGTTCATACAAAACCAAATCTAACATCAAAACTTCTAAAAACGGTAATTTCATTAAATATCTGGCTGACATGGGCTATAAATTTGAATTAACTGACCAACTTGGTCTTACAAATGAACTACTTGTTGTTTTGAATTTTTAAAGTAACAGCTTAATGGAACAACAGAGAGGCGTGTAAAAAGACTTGCAATTCGATTGTGTCCACTCCAGCTATAGAGGTACCATGGTGAATCTGGCTCTGCCCAGAGAAAATGGTCAACTATGTCCCCATGCTTCACTGGTAAACTCCATAGTACTGAGATGCCAAAGGCTTTGAAGCAATGAGGCAGCACACACAGTCAGAGCAGAAGCCCCAGGGGAGGGGGGTGCAGCTACAATGCCATACAGAGCAGAGCTTTGGTGAGGATAACTATATTGTTGCTATTGAGGAAAATGAGCGCTTGGCAAGAACATTCCCAGATTTTACCATAAATAAGGTTTGGGGCGACACTGAAAACACCAGCACAGCCATGGTGAGTTCTTTGGGTCTAGGATTCTCTTTTTCAGGACCAAATAGCTTCCTGGTAGGAAGTTAATGAGGGCTGTGAGGTCATTTTAGATTAAAAGTGAAGTTCACTGTTTTCTGAAAAAAAAAAAAATCAAAAAGCTGGACTGTCAAGTGAAGTAGTCCACGCCCCAATGAGCTGGTATCACAGCAGCTATTGGTTGGAGGGGCGGAAGAACCTCCCGCAACAAAGTGGGTTTTATTGCTAATGGCTAGAGATCCACCTGATACCGAGGTGGAGCCAGGTGTGGTGAAGGCAGGAGGGTCGCAGTTCAAGGTCATCTTCAGTGGTGAGTTAAGGTTAGCCTGGGCTACTTGAGCTTCTGACTCAAAAAGAGAAACCAAGGTGGAGTAAGACGTTAGTTTCAGAGTCCTGTGGCTGATTATGCCAGACTTTCTCTTGCCCGGCAGAGCAGTCTAACCCTGATGCTAAACCAAGGCAGCTCAGCCAAGAGCTGGAGGGCAAGACATTGCTTCTTCTGATCATTTGGGCACTCTGCCTGGACGCTTTGTCTTTGCTTTGAAGGCAGTGCCCACTCCGGAGAGGCAATTTCTATGACAGCTGGGGAGAGCTAGCAGGGCTCACTAATAGGGCCAGCAATTTCCTCTAGAGGATTACCGTGTTTAGACAGGGGTGGGTGGCTGGCATGCTGTCGGGGGTTGCTCTTGGGATTTGCTGCCTTATAAAAGCTTTCCTAGGCAAAGTAAAAGTATTAAAATCTACTTGCTGTTTAAATTTTGAGCTGTTGATACTGATAGCTGTCAAAACCGGTTTGCCACACCTGTACCCACCATAGTTCCAGGTACCCCCCAATATGAAGTGATATTCTCTCTTTCAGAGAAGAAAATGACAGAGAAGGGGTGAGGGCCGAGATTATCCGGAATATCTTCAATGCTCATGCCAACACCTTAAGCTGGGG